GTGCCTACAGGTTCATCGGAACGCGCAAGCCCCCTCACCACGACAAGGTGACAGTCCATCGAGGGGGTAAATCATTAGTATTATATTGCATTACATTGTATTATAATTATTATATAATATAATAATAAATAAATAATAATAAAACTTTATTTGTACCCTGCTACCATCTCCCCAAGGGACTCGGTGCGGCTTACATGAGGCTGAGCCCACAATACAATAATAAAACAATAGCAACAGTAATACAAAACAATAAATAAACTCATATGCAAAAATGAGCAATAAACATTAACAATAACACGACGACGTTTAAAAACCTATGGCTGGGCCAAATTTAATAATAAAAATTTAAAAAATAATGCTGGGCATGACCAGGTGACATATAACTAGGATTGAAGTTTTGGAGAGGGATGAAATGTGCAGACAATCCTACATCACTAATAAAGTGCGTTTAGGGACATATTGCTGGGAGTTTCCTTATTCTGGGAAGGCACACTGAAACAACCACGTTTTCAGGCTCCTCCTAAAGATTGCTAGAGTTGGGGCATGCCTGATGTCCTTGGGGAGTGAGTTCCAGATTCGAGGGGCCACCACCGAGAAGGCCCTCTCCCTCGTCCCCACCAATCGTGCCTGCGATGGAGGTGGGAGCGCGAGGTAAAGAGATCGTGTAGGTTCGTACACAGAGATGCGGTCACCCTGGGGCAGCTCCCCAACCGTTTAGGGCTTTGTAGGTAAGCACCTGCACCCTGAATTGGGACCGGAAAATGAATGGCAGCCAATGGAGCTCCTTAAACAGAAGGATTGACCTCTCCCTGTAAGGAGCACCAGTTAACAACCTGGCCGCCGCTCGTTGAACTAATGGAAATTTCCGGGCTGTTTTCAAGGGTAGCCCCACGTAGACTGCATTGCAGTAGTCCAATCTGGAGGTGACTAAGGCATGGACCACCCTGGACAGATCCGCCTTCACGAGGTACGGTCGCAGTTGGTGCACGAGTCTTAATTGTGCAAAGGTCCTCCTGGCCACTGCCTGAGCTTCAAGCGTAAGTGATGAGTCTATGTATATATATTATACTAGCTGTCCCCTGCCACGTGTTGCTGTGGCCCAGTCTAGTGATCTGGAAAATAAAGTAATGAGAAAGTGTTGGTTTCTAATATATGTAATTCCTTTATGCTTATGAGTAAACAGTATTTCTTGTAATGTTCGTTTGTGCTACCATCAGAACTCTAAAACCACTAGGGGAATTGACACCAAATTTGGACTCAAGACACCTAACAGTCCAATTTATGTCCTCCACTCAAAAACATTGATTTTGTCATTTGGGAATTGTCGTTGCTAGGATTTATAGTTTACCTACAATCAAAGAGCATTCTGAACTCCACCAGTGATGGAATTGGGCCAAACTTAGCACACAGGGCTCCCATGACCAACAGAAAAAACTGGAAGGGTTTGGTGGACATTGACCTTGAGTTTGGGAATTGTAGTTCACCCACATCCAGAGAGCACTGTGGACTCAAACAATGATGGATCTGGACCAAACTTGCCGAAATATGAACACAGATGGAGTTTAAGGGAAATAGATCTTGACATTTGGGAGTTGTAGTTGCTGGGATTTATAGTTCACCTACAATCAAAGAGCATTCTGAACTCCACCAATGATTGAATTGGGCCAAACTTGGCACACAGAACTCCCATGACCTCTGTGTGCCAAGTTTGGTTCAATTCCATCACTGGGAGAGTTCAGAATGCTCTTTGATTGTAGGTGAACTATAAATCCCAGCAACTACAACTCCCAAATGACAAAATCAAGTTTTTGAGTGAAGGACATACATTTGGTTGTTAGGTGTCTTGTGTCCAAATTTGGTGTCAATTCCCCCAGTGGTTTTTGAGTTCTGATGGTAGCACAAAAACATTACATTTTTATTTATATAGAAGATTACATTACATTACATTATTAGAATAGCACAGGAGACAAGGTGGAACTGTCTTCTGCCCCCCTCCCTCTTCACTCTGGCCCAGATGAGGGGAAAAAGGTGAGGGGGAAAAAAGAAAACGAAGGAAAGAGAAATGGAAGTAAGTAGAGGGGCGAAGGTGTGTGATGGAAAGCAAGGGAAGAGGGAAATAAAGGAAGGAAAGAGAGACGTGGCAAAGAGACACAAAACTTGGGCCACACTTCAGTTCTTGACAGCGTGCGCTTCCCTTTAAGAGCGGAATGTACCACTCTCTCTTTAGGAAGGGGGGGGTAGAAAGGGACGATAAGGAGGAAGAACGGCTTGCGTCACAAAACGGGGGCGGGGCCGGCGAGACCATTCCCAAAGGGGAGGGAAAAGAGTCGTCAAAGGGGCGGGCTGTGCGCGTCAGCCTATGGCGAATGGAGAAGGAGGAGGAAGGGGAAGAAGGAGAAGAACAGAAAGGCGAAAGCGTCGGTGAGATGAGGTGAGAAGAACGGCGGGGCGTACCATTCAGGGAGTTTGGGGGAAAGGGTGAGCGGAGAAGGAACGGGTGAAGGGAGTCTGCAAGCGGAGGAAGAAGGTGGGGTCCTCCGCGTCGAGCGCGCCTGCGCGGTGGGGGGAAAAGAGGCGGGAGAATCACCCCCCGGTGGGGCTCGTGATTGGTGGGCGGCCCCCTGCCCGTCTTCTGCGCCGAGCGGGGAATGTGCGTGCTTGCGTCACCACCGCCTCGTCGACTGCCAGTCAAGGCCGGTTCTGGGAGGCTGCCTCTGCTTCTTCCCTCAGTCGCCTCCGCTTTCCTGTCCAGGGAGAGGGGCTTCCCCGCCCGGGCCTCGAGGGAAGGAAGCAGGCAGGCCGCAGCCGATGCTCCTGGTGGGTGAGAGGAAGCCGGAGGGCGGGCGAGCGAGGCCTCTGTTTGCCGCCTGAGGGAGAGAGCGTAGCATGCAGGGCCTCACAGGTTGCCAGCCTGTGTGTTGGTTTTGGTATTGGGTTGTTGTAGGTTTTTTCGGGCTGTAAAACAAGGCAAAAGGTGAGGACAGCAGCTGACCTTCTATTTACAGTCAGAATCCTATTTTCCTGGTTCTTTGTATTGTCGAAAGCTTTCATGGCCAGAATCACTGGGTTGTTGTAGGTTTTTTCGGGCTATATGGCCATGTTCTAGAGGCATTCTCTCCTGACGTTTCGCCTGCATCTATGGCAAGCATCCTCAGAGGTAGTGAGGTCTGTTGGATCTAGGAAAAAGGGTTTATATATCTGTGGAATGACCAGGGTGGGACAAAGGACTCTTGTCTGCTGGAGCTAGGTGTGACTGTTTCAACTACCCACCTTGATTAGCATTTGATGGCCTGGCAGTGCCTGGGGCAATCTTTTGTTTATTTTATTTATTTATTTATCGTGTCATCCGCAACCAGAACATTGTATTACATTTCTAACAGAACAAAACAAACAAACAGATTAAAAAAACACAAATTTTGCAAACTTGGTAGCTGATTAAATGTCCTTTGACCAGTATCTGGCCACTTGGAGTGCCTCTGGTGTTGCTGCAAGAAGGTCCTCCATCGTGCATGTGGCAGGGCTCAGGTTGCATTGCAGCAGGTGGTCAGTGGTTTGCTCTTCTCCACACTTACATGTCGTGGATTCCACTTTGTAGCCCCATTTCTTAAGATTGGCTCTGCATCTCGTGGTGCCAGAGCGCAGTCTGTTCAGCGCCTTCCAAGTCGCCCAGCCTTGGGGAGTCTCTCATCTGGTATCACCCATGGATTGAGGTGCTGGGTTTGAGCCTGCCACTTTTGAACTCTCGCTTGCTGAGGTGTTCCAGCGAGTGTCTCTGTAGATCTAAGAAAACTATTTCTTGATTTAAGTCGTTGACGTGCTGGCTGATACCCAAACAAGGGATGAGCTGGAGATGTCTCTGCCTTGGTCCTTTCACTATTGGCTGCAACTTCCCAGCGGATGTCAGGTGGTGCAATACCAGTTAATCTTTTGTTGAGAGGTGATTAGATGTCCCTGATTGTTTTTCCTTTGTTGTTTTGCTGTTTTTTTTTAATACTGGTAGCCAGATTTTGTTCATTTTCATGGTTTCTTCCTTTCTGTTGAAATTGTCCACATGCTTGTGGATTTTCAATGGCTTCTCTGTGTAGTCTGACATGGTGGTTGTTAGATTGGTCCAGCATTTCTGTGTTCTCAACTAATATGCTGTGTCCAGGTTGGTTCATCAGGTGCTCTGCTATGGCTGACTTCTCTGGTTGTGCCTTTCATGTTCCTTGATTCGTGTTTGGGCAATGCTGCATTTGGTGGTCCCTATGTAGACTTGTCCACAGCTGCATGGTACACGGTAGACTCCTGCAGAAGCGAGAGGATCCCTCTTGTCCTTTGCTGAACGTAGCATTTGTTGGATTTTCTTGGTGGGTCTGTAGATAGTTTGTATGTTGTGTTTCCTCATCAGCTTCCCTATGCGGTCAGTGGTTCCCTTGATGTATGGCAAGAACACTTTTCCTCTGGGTGGATCTTTGTCTTGACTCTCGTGGCTTGTTCTTGGTCTTGCAGCTCTTCTGATGTCTGAGGTGGAGTATCCATTGGCCTGTAGAGCCCAGTTTAGGTGGTTCAGTTCATCTTGGAGGAGGTGGGGTTCGCAGATTCTTTTTGCACGGTCTGCCAAGGCTTTAATGGTGCTTCTTTTTTGACTTGGGTGATGGTTGGAGTTTTTATGTAGATATCTATCTGTGTGTGTGGGTTTTCTGTAAACGGTGTGACCCAATTGTTGATCTGGTTTACAGATGACTAGGACATCTAGAAAATGCAGTCTTCCTTCATTTTCTTTTTCCATTCTGAATTGGATGTTTGGGTAGATGCTGTTAAGATGGTCCAGGAACCTGTTTAGTTCTTCTTCTCCATGGCATGTTTTGGTATTGTTTTGTGTGTGTGAGGACCTCAATGTTACCCTTCCCTGTCAGTGTCTCAGGGCCCTTCAACACAGCCATATAACCTAGGCCCTTTCCACACAGCTGAATACAATCCCACATTTTCAGCTTTGAACTGGAATATATGCCAGTGTGGACTCAGATATTGCTGATATTGTGGGAATTTTTTTGCCTTGGTATTCTAGCTTATATGGCTGTATGGAAGGGCCTTGAGTCCACAATTCTATATATTCCAGTTGTTATTTATTTATTTCAGGAGCGACTTGAGGAACTGTAAGACTCTTCTGGTGTGAGAGAATTGGCAGTCTGCAAGGCTGTTGCCCAGGCAAAGTCTGGACGTTTGATGTTTTACCATCCTGGTGGGAGGCTTGTCTCCTGTCCCCACATGGGGAGCTGGAGCTGACAGAGGGAGCTCAACCCACTCTCCCCGGATTCAGTCAGCAGTCCTACCAGCAAAGGGTTTAACCCATTGGGCCACCAGGGGCTCCCAGTGCTTACTCTACTGGTCATTAATGGGGATTCTGGGAAACATGGTCAACAAAGCAACTATTCCAAGCTTTGCCTTCATGTCCCCACATGGGGAGCTGGAGCTGACAGAGGGAGCTCAACCTGCTCTCCCTAGATTCAGTCAGCAGTCCTGCCAGCAAAGGGTTTAACCCATTGCACCACCAGGGGCTCCCAGTGCTGACTCTACTGGTCAGCACTGGGGATTCTGGGAAACATGGTCAAAAAAGCAACTTTTCCAAGCTTTGCTCTCATTAAATGCAGCCATCTACAAATGGCAGGCATTTGTCACTGTGCAGATACATAATTTTCAATGAATGACCAATTTCTTTAGCTGACTTCCTCATCTTGCGAACAGAAACATGGTAAGAAGGAAGACTTTAATTTCCCATCTGGACCCAGAATTGTACCACACATTTCTTACCAAAGGCACACGCCAGGTGACTAACTGTGGCAGTGATATGGTTTCTAATGACTGCGAGGCCGTTTCTCTTGATGATAGGGCGTAAATATTCATGTCAGAAAGGCAAGACAGTTGATGCCAAGCAGAACTCCACGAAATCTGGACAAAACTTCAGGTTGCTCACTGTTTTGACATTGTGGTGCTCTCTCTACAACCCAGGTCTTTCACAACAGTACAGTTGTGTAGTCAGACTAGGGAAAAAGTATGAGTATTACTGGAAGGTTTAAGGCAATGCTTTCTCTTAACACAGGTGAAGATATGATAGAGCAGGCATGGGCAAACTTATATAAACTTATATATTCCAGTTCAAAGCAGGTAATGTGGGATTTTATGCAGCTGTGTGGAAGGGGCCTTAGTATCATGGGGAAAGGTGTTTCCACTGAAGCTTTATTGCCAATCTTTGTTTCCACAACAAGCCTTTTTTTCAAAATCCAAAATTTCTGGGAGTCAGAGGGGAATCTTAGGGGATCAGATTGAGTGGAGAAAGAAGAAATTCCTAAAAGCGCAACTTCAAAAATTAAGCAAATCCAGCACTTTTTACTTGGGCTGGGCAGGCTAAAGTGGGAGAGATTATGGAAAAAACATGGCTGAACTCTTTCTGTTTTCTCTCATGCCTATGAGGTTTTGAAGTCGGGGAAGAAGACAGGCTTTCAGTGTGTGATGAGAAGTGCAGGGACGAGTTGTTTAGGCTGGGAATTGTGGGGAAATGGCAGCCTTTCTGACATTCCTGGATAGCAGCCTCCATCAGCTCTAACCAGCAGAGCTATTAGTGGAAAATACTGGGAGTTGCAGGGGGTACTATTGTTTTCTGTTGTTCCAGAGACTAAGACACAATGGAGCTATGGATTCAAATACAGGAGCCCCCCGGTGGTGCAATGGGTTAAACCAGGCATGGACAAACCTCAGCCCTCCTGGTGTTTTGGACTTCAACTCCCACAATTTCTAACAGCCTTGTGCCAGCAGGACTGCTGACCAAAAGGTCCGCGGTTCAAATCGGGAGTGGGGTGAGCTCCTGTCTCTCAGCTCCAGTTTCCCATGCGGGAACATGAGAGTAGCCTCCCACAGGATGGTAAAACAGCTGGGCATCCCCTGGGCAACATTCTTGCAGACAGCCAATTCTCTCAAACCAGAAGCGACTTGCAGTTTTTCAAGACGTTCCTGACATGAAAAAAAAAGGATTCAAATTGCAGGAGCAGAGATTCCACTTCAACATTAGGAAGAACTTCCTGACCATAAGAAAAGGGGTTTAACAGTGGAATATGTTGCTTTAGTGTCCTATGGAGTCTCCTTCTGTAAAGGCTTTTAAGCAGAGACTGGATGGTTATCTGACAGGAGTGCTTTGCTTGTGTCTTCCTGCCTAACAGAAGGAGGTTGGACTGGTTGTGATCTCTTTTCCATCGCTGAGGCTGTGAACATTGTCTAAAGGGGCCATGTGCCTGGTCTAAGGTGATGGATTGACAGAGCACCATGAACAGCAGACAGGGTGTGGTAGTGGATGGGTTTATGTATGCGGGTGGGTGGGATGTTGAGGAGCAGAAACGCGAATGAATGAGGGGCATACCCCGTATTTGCAGTGTAAGGTAGGGGTGGAGCAGAAAGCTTGACTGCAGAGCTACTGATTTCCACATGTGGTATTGTGAGACTACATAGGTGCTTGTACTTGTAGTGTTACATTGGGGGGAGGTCTGCTTACAAGTTGTGGCAGGATGGCATTGGAGAAATCGGGGAGGACAGATGAAAGGGAAATCTAGTGAGGGCTAGAATTGTCGCCTTAAGTAGTGGTGGTTGACCTAACTTAGAGGTAATGCAGAGGAGGTGGGGTTGCTTTGGCGAGTGAGTGATAAGAAGATGTAGCTTGGAACAGGAGGTTAGGGGGAGTGTTGCTAAGCTTGGTAAGGATAGATAATGGCATTGGGCAGTGTTGGAGGAAGCTTGAAGAGGGTGATGCTGAAAAACACTTAGTTGGACTTGGAAGTGGCATTGGT